GCATTGCAGCTTCCGAGTTTTATCCAGTTCAGAATTCCACCATTCGTACCCCGCGGAACCCCTAGGGCGACGCTCCCCTAGGGCCTTCCTCCGCGGAGCGGATGATGACCCCTGAGAACTCCTCCACCAGGAGGGCCGCGGGTTTGTCCACATGCAACCATCCCATTCTTAATTTTATGATCGCCCGGAACCTGTCCCAATCCACCCCCCGGTCACGAAAACGTGGGGGATCCCTGACGGGTGCAGCGTAAGTAGTCGGCCTGCTGGTAGTGGCCGTGTATGTAATTAAATTATGGTCGCTGGCGCAGATTCCCTCATGCACTCGCCACTCAGCAAGGTATATATCCCCAGTCGATAATGTGAGGTCCACATTAGATTCTCCACCTGGCCCATAGAAGGTATAGGGCTGGTCAGGCTGGTTCGCCAACGTTAGTTCCTGTGAAAGTATGAACGCCTCCACTTGCTGCCTCCGGTGTTCTGCAGTATGTCCTCGTCCCACCAGTCCATTACCAGATCAGTTAAAGGATAAACTCAACATTATTTTTGGATACTTAGCAAAAGATCTATCATTGCCTATAGAAGATATACACAATGGCGTATCAAAATTGTATAATTTACTGAGAGTTAAGGTTCATTCCGTCACATATTAAAACCTTTTACTCGAAATAAAAATGCCACTTTTAACCAGAGAAAGCAATGACATCGAGTTTTAATAATTCCTCAATTACAATAATATAATAAACATAATTCCCATCTCTGATTACATTGCTGTAAACATCCAAAGAGACTTATTCAGTATACCTATGACTGAAGCCGAAGTACAATCAAGTTTATATTTAAATCTCACCACGAAATTTTGTGCGCTACGAAACCCCGTTTATCATTAGTAAAATGATCAAAGTTTGTGTTTTTTTTATAGAAGAGGGGGAAAACGAGCATGCGGCTCACATGATGGTAAGTGACTACCACCGCCTATGAACAACCGCAACACCAGGGAAATTGCAGATGCGTTGCCGGCCTTGTAGAAAGGAGTAAGCTCTTTTCTTGAAGGTCCCTAAGTCGTATCGGTCCAGAAAAGTCGCTGGTGGTAAACAATTATACAGAAAAGTTGTACGAGGAAGAAAACTCCTAGAAAAACGTAGAGTAGTGGACCGCCAAGCATCCAGATGGTGAGAATGGTATCGGGAATTTTGACGCGATGTGCGTTTGTGAAATTTGGTGGCTGGAACTACTCCAAACTATTCCTCCGAACACTCCCCATAGTAAATTACGATATCTAAACGCTATCTAACGATAAAAAACGCAAACAGATGCAACATCCTTACGCAGCGACAGTGAATCGAGCCAGTCAGAAAGAACCTGGTCGTCGACGATTCGAATTGCTCTGCTTTGGCTGCGGTAAAGTGAAAGGAGCTGGCACTGGGGTGCCCCGGCACAGAGACGAGAACAGTGAGGCCGAACTTGCGCTTTGTAAAGTTGCAAACGATGTGTCGGCATGAAATACTGTCTCACTTTGCTGAGCACGCCAAGCTTTTTAGAGGCCAACTTGGCCTTCCTCTCCTAGTGACCACGAAACTGCACACTATTCTATAAGTCGACGTCGAGGATTCTGATGCTGGCTGAAGCAGCAAGGGGAGTGCCTTCAAACTGAGGAGATACGATAAAGGGGTTATTTTTAGCGGTTAACGCGCAAATTGTATCTTCTGGGGATTGAATTGCACTAGATTCAGTCGCCCCCAATCCGAGACTTTGTTAAGCAAAGACTCGATTTCAGACACAAGTTTGTCCCGGTAATCGGTGACGTTTTCCGGAGAAATATTAGCATGGCCGATGTATAAGGCATCACCAGTGGTGTCGTCTGCATAGCAATGAATGTTAGCGGTTTGCAACATATCATTGATATGCAGAAGAAACAGCATTGGTAATAGCTTGCAGACTTGTGGAATACCAGCGTTAATAGGTACAAGCCTACAATTACAAAATCAGAACATGCACAATCTACTATGACCTTGATGCTCCGATTAGCAAGAAAACTGGTAATCAAATTGCACAATTTCTCGGGGAGCCCAAGGAGCTTTCGAAGCTACCTGCTTCGAAAGAAGCGCGTTGTGAAAGACCCGATCGAAGGCCTTCGCTATGTTCCAACTAACGTGTATCATGAATCATTCAACAGACAAATGTCTTCGATTAATATGCGGCGATCAAGTTACTTCAAAACGCGTCAGCTAGGCCGTCTTATCAGTTGGGAATAATTGCGTATTCAAGGAAGACTCATCTATAATTGTCTCGTATTGGACATAAATGCAAACACAAAGTCAGAATAAATTAATATTTAATTTATTTGTAGGTTCATAAATTTTGATATAGGTACTTTTACTGGAAACGAGGCATTCCATCTTAGTCCTCATGGGTGACAACGCATCCGCGTTTTGATTCTTAATCGAGGATAAATGTATATTTCTATGGGCCACAGCATCCATTTACCACCGGGTGGATCGTGTGCTCGTTTGACACCATTATTCTATAAAAAAATGTAAGAGCGATGTTTGTTAGTAGATGAACGAATGATTTGTGTTTTGAGGTAGGGGGACAAAAATGACACTTAAAACACGTAAAACTATATCGAATAGCAGGTCCGATGTATTGCTCAATAAAAGCGTTAGGTGCAGATAATAATCTATCTACACAACAAGCACATCAATGCAATGCACGCACACCCCGATTTATTGGCTATACATATTCCACCAGTAAAAGTAAAACAAGCCAACCAGAGGAGAAAGAACGACAAGCGTCCTTGAAGGAGACGGGGCGTCAAATCGGTCAAATGAAAAAGGTAGATAGATATACGAGTAGTAGTTGTTTTAGTGTAAGCAGTCGGAGCAGTGAGAGTAGCGGTACTCTGGAGGCGAGTTCGACAAGCACCCCGGGGGGCACAGCGCCTGAAGCCTGCCCGGAGCCTGTACCAAGTATATATCTTCAAGACATTCCCAGTGATTCTACAAGTGATAATGTCAATGCCAATCAAAACATTTCAGCGCAAAGTACGCGAGCACAAAACAAAGCCACTCCACCCGTATTCGCGAGAGTGTGCTTGAGTGATAAACAAGTAAAATAGATCTGGACATGGACCTTTAACTACTTATTTTTATCTTGTTTATTAGTGACATCATTCTATTAACTATAATAGTTTCTTAACTTGACTTTTCTTATTGCTTTTTATTGTATCCTATCTTATCACTTTTATCTCTCCCTCGGGAGCATGTAACCGTACATTTTAGTTTGTGAGCCATTTATTTAGGTCAAAATCAAATGCGTCATTTAATTTAGCTTTTGTGCAGTTCACATTTGCGCTTCGAAAACTGCAGACGCGTTTTATATCATTATCAATATCATTATTTAGTTTCAATGAAATAATGATTTTTTTCTTACGTCATCTATCACTTAAGGGATTTCGATCAAACATATCGTACATAAGACCGAAGAGTATAATCTACGGTATATAGGTATACTTTGACTTGCGTATGTAGACTATGAGAAAGCCTTTGACTCAATCAAAATTTGGGCGGTGATACACGGTGTCGGTGTGACGGTACGGTATCACTTCAGCTGTGCCAATTTGACTATCGGTATATCAAAGTGCTTAAGTGTATTTACAGTAGAGCTACGATCGGCTGGGCAGCGTTTAGTAGATTACGGCACATCAACTTGTTAGGTATATATAAAAACTTAAAAAAAGTTCTATAACCAGTTCGTGTTGTCAATGATGACTTATGGATCTGAGACGTGGTCCTACACTGTTGACCGTGTGAGTAAGCTCAAGGTTAGTCAGCGAGCTATAGAGAGAGCTATGCTCGTGGTTTCGGTTTCGTTGCGTGGTAAACTAAGAAATGATATCCACAGTAGAAGTAGAGTAACCGAGATGGCCCAACGGATTAGTAAGATAAAGGGGCGATGGGTCGGCCGTATAACTCGAAGAACCTACAATCAATGGTAAAGAAAATTCTCAAGTGGCAGCCTTGTGCCGGTAGGCGAAGTGTAGGGCGGCCCTCCATTAGATAGAGTGAAGACCTGGAGACATGCAGGAAGTCGTTGAATGCAGTTGGCTCGGGACCGTGCTTTGTGGCATTCATTGGGGGTGGCTTATGTTCGGCGGAGGACTTGTGAAGGGCTGTAATGATGACGATGATGATGATAGTGAATTATAAAATGGTGCCGGAGCATGAAGGGGTGTATGAAACGTGTTCAAGAAATGCCCTGGATGCAAAAGCATTGTTGGCTGTGTTCCAAGATTTCAACGATGAAAGGTGACTTCGTGTAACTAGTAGAACTTCTTTTCTACATGGTTGAGGTTGTAGCACGAAAGAGGTGACTCGACCGGGGAAAGACCATGCTCTCACAGAATACCAGCGTGAAATGGTACTTTCATGCTGTTGTGTTTTGTATGGCGAGTGTAGAGAACCGGAGACCCTTTTAACTGGATAATAGGCATTCAACCTTTATTCTCTAATTCATCAGATGTAGATGTTTATGGAAATTAGTATCCACTTGTTACAATTGGCTAATAAACAAATCTATAATGTTTTACATAATTTTAACAATAATGAAAATAGCTTAAAAGTAAAAACAATATTAACATTTGATATCTTATATATTTATTTAAATAGTCTATTGTCACCATCATTATACTCGTATCACATGTCCATTGCTGAACACAGGATTCCACCAAGTTATGCAACAAAGCACGGTCTTAAGCCCCTTGCAACCAGTGACTTCCAGCATGTCTTACCAGGTTTTTTCATCCATGTAGTAAGGAAATTCTAATTCTTTTCCATCGGTTGTCGGTTTGTCGATGCATTGGAATATATTGATTACTCTGGTTTAGCTGCGTATATATTCTGTCACGCCAGGAAACTTCCAGCTTAGCAGCCTTAATGATAAGTTTGAAGTTTCTCTCCTCACTGAGCAACTTATTATAAAACTAAAGATAAAATAAATTTCAGATAGACCATGGGTGACTGTGTGCTTGGCAATGCTGGGTAGACTTTGTGGGGCGGCATCCTTTGCCGTATTTTACGTATTAATTGGAGAGTTTCTTCCTACGGTGTTGAGATCGCAAGCTATGGGACTGGCTTCATTTATTTCGGGCTTGGGCCTTCTAGCCTGCCCTTATATTGTGCATTTGGTAAGTTCACGCCTACTCGAATTTTTATATGGACGTTCAAAAATTTGAACTATGTGCATTATTAATACTTGCAAGTAAAAGTTACAAATGAACATAAAAGTCCATCTGATGGTAAAGGAATGCTGTATTCTAAAGAAACCTACGTCACAACAAAATTGCAGTGTAAAAAGTGTGATGTAACGTAACCGAAACGACATTTGCAGCCCATTATTAAAATTAGTCTGACTAAAGTTTATTTCATGCCGGCACACCGCTTGCAACTTTATAAGGCGTAGGTTCGGCCGCACATGGAATACTGTTCCAATCCCTGTGCTGGGGCTCCCCAGTGCCAACTCCTTCCATTTGATGGCATCCATCAATGAGCTGTTCGAATAGTCGGCGACAGAGCTATTTCCGATCGGCTGGACTCACTGGCACTGCGAAGAGATGTTGCAACTCCTTGCGTATTTTATTGAATTTACCACGGGGAGTGCTCTGAGGAATTGTTTGAACTAATTCCAGCCGTACAATTTCACCATCGCACATCGCGATAAAACTCGCGATACCATCCATACCATCTGGATGACTGGCGGTCCACCAATATGCGATTTAAAAGAAGTTTTCTATCTCGCATAATTCACTGTGAAATCAACTACCACCAGATATTTTTCCGGACCGATACGACTTAGGACTCCTTTTTAAAAGCCTGGCAACGCAATATGCAATTCCCCTGGTGTTGCAGTTGTTCAATGGTGGCGGTAATCACTTACCATCAGGTGAGCCGTACGCTCGTTTGGGGTTTCCCATAAAAAATAAAGACGTACTACCAGCAACATTTCTCCTCATTGGCACTTCCTATATTACAGAGTTCTAAAGTGAGATACTTTGTTACTGTAATGTAGTTAAACAATATTATTCAATGCTCTATGAATATCAATGTAAACGGGAGCATTTACATCCGAAATATATTGTACTTCTGCCCCACTGGCACGGCTCCTTATGGAGCCGTGCCAGTGGGCTTGACCACAAGGTCACAAGGCCAGCACTCTTCATTAAGTTTACTGTACAATGCATGTGGATGACGCGAGCGTGTACTTATTAAAGTTTTCAGTTTTTATATTTTCGAAAATTGTAATATCTATAGTGGTGAATTAATATTATAGTAATATGGGTTACTAAGTAAAATTCAAATGACGGCCATGCTTATGTTTTCTTCATTTTATATCATTAAATTGTTTATCTGAATGCCAATATACTCGTACTACATAATTAAATTTAAGAAAGAAATCTTAACTTGTTTTAAAGAAAACCGAAAAGATCAATAAAAAAGTGTTACGAAAATATTTGGAAGTACAACACGTGTATATTTTTGTGTTTTTTTTTTAAATTTTTTTCGTGTTTTTTGTGTATAATTTTAATATGGGGTCATCAGTGTGTTATACCGTATATCTTCGTCGAGCCGGGACTATAACGATAATGAATCGTTATTGTAAATACGCCGGGACGCGACCCACAAATTATACACACCCAGTATATTTTCTTGTAGTAATAAAAATAATCTAGTTCAATAAAAGTTTTAAATTATAAGTATGAATATAATGTTAATAAACGATACTGAGTATTATAATATCCAAAATTATTTTATTCCCAGTTTTGTGACAACCCCTAGCATATTTGCGACGACGGCGTAAATAGTAAATATAACGCGGGTGTATGCATCGCCAGCCATCAAAGGCATTTCAAAACTATTAGTTCTTTAAAGTGTGATAATACTGTTGTATTTTGTATAAGAGTGTAGAACACCTTTTTACTGGAAACAAGGATTTCCACCTTATTCCTCAAGGATGACTACGCTTCTGTACTTTGATTCTTAATCGGGGATATATGTAAACGTGGACGACAGCATCCACTTACCATCAGATGGTTAGCTGGGGCTAGTTGTCTGCGACAAAAATTAGTGGGCGATTTATTTGAGTCAAGTTTTAGTTTTAAGCTTCCTTAACACTGTTATGTAAATTTTTTTCAGGCTGTATACGGCAGATCACTTCCACTCATAATCATGGGTATACTTAGCGTGATGGCGGGTATTTCGTCGCTGTTCCTACCTGAAACCCTGAACCAACTGCTGCCTCAGACTTTGGAGGATGGCGAAATGTTTGGAAGGGATTTTAAATTGTTCAGTTGTGTTGATACACCGAGAAAGGAACAGGGCTACAATTCTACATGTACAATATAACCGATACAGAGACAAATATATTTACTTATAGAATTAAATACTTAGTAATAAATAATAGTTATGATTCAAAATGGAAACTATTAATATTAACACGTTTCCAGTCTTGAGTAATATCACGACGTCGACGGTGTTCGATTAGATGTGTCTTTCTGATAGGTATAAGAGACTGTTTTAGTACTCGGAGGATCGGGGAAAAGAGATTTATATTTAAAGAAGATAGCGGAACGCACACGCAATGTGTAGAGTCAAGCTTTATTATTTATGTTCACGAGGAAGTTCACCATTACTAGTTGCCGCTGTGGGTCAGAGATTGTTGAAGAAAAGGTTACGTGCTTCAGAGTTACAGAGTGTATGATATTATAGAAAAATATTATTAGTACAAATAAAAGAAACAATTTTTCTACCAATTAATCGTAAAACTTATTTTAAAATAACTCTAACTTATTTTAAAATCTACGACAATATTTTTATCAAACTAACAAACGGCGAAAGCAGCAATGGGACCGCTATATAGCTCGAAGAACCGGCAACCAAAAGGGAGGAAAGATTTTCGAATGGCAGTCTCGTATCAGCAAGCGGAGTGTAGAGTGTCTCCCAATAGATGTAGTAAAAACCTAGTATATATTATGAGGATATATAATATATAGAACATAATAATAATGTTCACCAAATCGAATTTCGGTAAGTGCGACCAACGGGGATAAGCCATCTGCACAGAACAGATCAGGCGCAGGACCTACGGATTTACGTGCATTCCGAGGAATGGAGGAAACAACATCACAAACTCCTTAACTCTGGGCTGCTTCTTAGAATTTCTTGACAGAAAAACCCAATAACCGATTTTAACCTGATCCGGGATTTGGGAACCCAGGACCTCAATCCGTAACGGGGTTTATGATTACTAGACCAACGAGCGAGTTAAATGTAATGTGTCCATTAAATTCTGCAAGAATGTAGAAATTAAGAATAGTGATTGAAGTGTAATGAATTCAAGATGTAAATGGATGCAGATGGCTCAAGGACCATGTTTTGTGGCATTTCTTGAAGGAACTTTTATTTAGCAGACGACTTGTTTAGGGCTGTAATGATAATGATGTTCGACAAGCAAAGAAAAAATCGAGCTAATAAAAACATGGTATTAAATAAAAGTGATATTAATACAGAACTATCTTCATTTCATTTGTCACATGTATTGTTGTTTTGCTAAATCTCTCCCTTAGCGATATAATTAATAAATGTAACAACTATATAATAAAATACTTAATATATGAAAGTAAATCTGTAGAATTGATTATGTTTATCCAAAAATTGTTTATCCAAATTAATTCTTACCGAAATTTCGCAAATATGAATAACACAAGCATCGAGAATTCTCTTTAAAACGCTGACCTTTGTTTGTCATAATTCCAATTTCCCTGTTGGTTCATTCAAACTATCTTCTTTGACAACCGTTGCATTAAATTATTACATTCATAAGACAGTATAATTCTCAATAACTGTATCATTTGTAACATGTAAACTATAAATAAATTCGCGAGCATTCTTACATTTGTAAAGATATTTGCGAAATTTAGGTAGGACTTAATTAAATTATTATATTGAACAATTTTTGGATAAACACAAACCATTTTACAAATTTACTTTCATATATCAGGTGTTATATTATATTTTTGTTACATTTATGCAGTCTAGGGAACTTTCAAGCTTTAATCGTGGTTAGTATTTATTCAAACTTACGCCGTCGTATTATACAGCGCTACAGTTTTTGCGAAATTTTAATTTTTGTCAATCTTTATACTTAACATTTTAGATCGTATACATAGGCTATATTTTGAACCTAAGGTTAATAATTATAAACTATTTTTTGTAATAAGGTTGATTGTATCGTAAATTGTAAATCATAAATGTCTGTTTAAAAAGTTTTTTAATTGTTAACTCGTATGATCTACTGAAATCTGATCAAAATGCAGATGCGTTGTCACCCGTGAGAACTAAGATGGAATGCCTCATTTCCAGTGAAAAGGGTCTCCGTTTCTCTACACTCACCATACAAAACACAGCAGTATTAACCTTCTATTTTACGCTGGTATTCTGTTGGAGCGTGGTTCTTCCCCGGTCGAGCCAACTCATTCGTGCTGCAACTATTCTACTAATATAACTGCAGCATGGCTCTACCACGTATAAACATGTTTTTAATACTGGTAAATGGATGCTGTGCCCCATAGTTATTTACATTTATTCTCGATTAAGGATCAAAATGTAGATGCCTCCTTTCCAATAAAAAGGGTCTCCAGTAATTTCCACTCACAACGCATATCATTACGCTGTTATAATGATGATGATAATGAGCTTGTTTCCGCTTTTGAAGTGAAAGCTGTTGTAAAGGTTAAGTTTAAAGAACTAATAATATATAGCGAAGATTTTTAAGGTATTTAGTATTAACAAGCATTTATAAACTTTGTGAAGCTAGTAGGAAATTGCCAGTTCTATTTAAATAACTTTCAGTTACCATACTTGAGATCATACACACTTATACTATTTATGTGGATGTTGAAGAATATAACGCTGTGGTTTCAGATAAGCTTTGAACATGAAAAGTATTTTATGGCACCGAAAAATACTGAAGTGTATTATTAATGACCACTGTACCTGATGTGAGTCCTGATAAGTTCTGTGATCGATTTTTGCGTAACTGATGCTTCACGGTCGTAAGCCAATACTGACGGAAGTCTTTTAAATACATCAATCCTATCACGCCTTCTCTATTGCAGTCCAACCTAGCTTTCGTTAATAGCCCATGGAAGTCTACAGCAGGACCTGAACCTTTTCCGTTAAAGGGAAGATTTTTCTAGTTTTCATCACCGCACTTGTCAGGTGGAATGTTTAATCAGTGGGTGCGTTTGGCAGAAAAAAGCGCTAGCAAGCGCTTGTAAGCAAAATGGCGATCGTAAGCGGTAAGCGCTATCAAATCGTAAGTAGCTATTTTCCTCTAGGATACGATGTTAGTTTTAACCGGGGAACCTAACCTAATTTAAATATATGTTTGTGAAGTATTCATATTAAAAACTTACCAATCATGAATTTTTAATAAAATGTATATGTCTATTCATGTCATTATATTACTTAAAACTAATATTGCAAAAAACAACTTATAAACTCTACTTCAAAACAAACAAATTAAATAAGCAAAATGGCGGATTGTGTCAGCGCTACTGAAGTAGCAATCGTGTCCTGGCCGAAAACTATTTTAGCGCTAGTAAGCGATTGCTAGCGCTTTTTTCTGCCGAACGCACCCAATGTCTATAATTTTTTTTTTCAAATGTCAATTTCAACAATAAAATATCGGTAGTAGTTACCGTGTAGTGGAGATGTAGCATATCTAACTATATACATATAGAGAGGACAGAGAAAAACAAATCAGGCAAAAGGCAGAAGCGCCTTTCTAGTGAAGACTTGAAATTAAGAACTGAGGCTGTTTGAATTAAGAACTGAGGCTGTTTGAATTAAGAACTGAGGCTGAGGCTGTCAACCAGCTTGCCAAGCGTGACGACTATGGAAAATATTCCCCCTATGAGACAAGCTATGAGACAGGCCTATCTTCGGTAGTAGACTTTGATAAACTATAACGGTGTAATATCAATAGTAAGTGGACCGGTCAAATAGCTCAGGTAGAGGCAACCTCAAATCAGCCTTGCGGCCCTAGTTAATAAATCAGGTGTATACGGAGGAAGACTTTGTTCGGCGGTGAACTAGTGATAAAAGTAAAGTTACAGCCTATATACGTCCCACTGCTGGGCACAGGCCTCCCCCTAATTTTTTTTGAGAGGGTTTTAGGGCAAGGAAGTGTCCGCCACGCTGCCCTAAAGCGTGTTGGCGAACTTGACATGTCTTCAAATATATTTTTTTCTTATTACTCAGACATGCAGATTTCCTCACGATGTTTTCCTTCACCGCCTAACACGTGGTAAATCAGCGCTTAAATTTGCAATTTCATTGGTGCTGGCAGGGATCGAACCCGGGTTACTCGCGTTCTGTTATATTCACAGCGAGTGTTAACCATCTGAGCTACCACGGCTCTACGGCTCTGAACTTGTGATAATTAAGATACTATTGAGTGCAGATGTCCGCACCTATATACGGTAATAGAACTGCTTAGAAGTTGATGAAGGCATTTTTTTATCGAAAATTGAAGTAACATACAAAATCACTGTCCACCTAATGGTAAATGGCGGCCGCAGCTCATCGACACCTGCAACGAACTTCAAGTAAAGAAGACTACAGACATTGGAACGTATTCTTTACCATTTAGAACAGAAATCAGCAGTGCACGTGTGCTATTGGACGGCATATATAGCAAGGGGCTCCTTGGCAGAAAGAGTCCTATCACTCAGTATAAGCTTTCGCTTAGTTTACATTATTCACAAGTTATTGAATTTGTAATACACTGAACAGTTATGGTATCATATCCTTAAGAGCAGTTACATTAATTTTATACTTCGCAGATGAACGTTTGGCATAAAAAATTCTTCGGCGACTGAACAGAGCAGCGTAAAAAATGATGAATAGCAATAACTTGGTTACAGTGGACACCTGGCTACCACTGCGTATTCTTTCCGTTCTTGCCCACATATAATTGTGCTCTTACATTACGCATTCCTGTAGTTTTACTTAAAGTTTAAATATTTTACAACTATTTTACTTTTTGTTTTGATATAATGTGTCTCGTAATAAATAAAAGTATTGACATTAAATAAGAAGCTGAATAAGTCGTTTTCTTTACACATCCCAAAAATTATTATATATATCATATTATAGACAACAAACTGCCTGAAACTGCGTGAAAACTATGTAAATTTTCAACTCTATGAGGCAATCTGTGGGGAAGCCTATATAATGAGAACTTTTGATAAGCTAAAACCAATTAATGATTGAAAAAGTATACAAGATTTTATCGCCACCCAGTATTATATGTACTTGAAATATTTGCCTCAGATTCTCGTAGATGCACGATTTGCAAGCGCGTTGCCAACAGCAATATTTTATTTTTATAATAATATCTTAAGAAAATACCTCTTCTTCTTTAAGTGCCTCTACATTACTGAAGGTCTGCAGTAAAAAAAGTAAAGTAGAGTTACAGCCTATATACGTCCCACTGCTGGGCACAGGTCTCCTCTCATTTCTGAGAGGGTTTTAGGGCAAGGAATAGTCCGCCGCGCTGCCCCAATGGGTGTTGGCGAACTTCACACGTCTTCGAAATATTTTTTTTTCTTATTTCTCAGACATGCAGGTTTCCTCACGATTTTTTCCTTCACCGCTGAGCACATGGTAAATCAGCACTTAAAATTGCAATTAACAATTTCATTGGTGCCGGCGGGGATCGAACCCGGTTTGCTCGCGTACTGTGAAATTTACAGCGAGCGCTAACCATCTGAGATACCACGAGAAGGTCTGCAGTCATCCTCCTAAATTCTTCTTTGTTCAGGGATAGCCTGAATAGATCTTCTACTTACTTTATCCCGGTCCATTTCCGGATATTACAGAGCCAGGAAATTCTCCTTCTACCAACACTTCTTTTACCCGCTACTGTGCCCATCATAATAGTCTGCAGCAGTTGGTAACGTTCATGACTTAGCACGTGTCCTAGGTACGCAACTTTTCTCTTTTTGATGGTTTTGACAAGTAGGGGCTTATTCCTTTTTATCTGCTTGAGGACCTCAGTGTTGGTAATTTTGTCTGTCCAACTTATTCGGAGCGTACGGCGATATATCCTCATTTCAAATGCTTCCAGTTTCTTACTTTCATAATTCAAGATTACCATCCGTAAAGTACCTCTATCCTTACTTAATTTCCCTTTGACGCCACTTAAACACCCACGGGTGGATATGGGATTCTCTTACCCCGCTACTATACGACAATGTATCAGGGAGCCATATACTCAGCAGTGAACTTGTAAAAAGTTATAATGATGATATTGGTGATACTATCCCATAGTCACCTCTTGCACCATTGCCTTATTTTTGGTTTTATCTCGCTATTGTAGCTTTTATTCTTGGAGGAAGTGGAACAATCATGGGAGTAATAAATCTATTCAATTCATGAAGGTAAAAAGATAGTAACGATCTATTAGTTTATAAATATGGTAAAAAACAGAAGAAAGAAATAAAAGAAACACATTTTACGTATATGACATGCCAAAACTCTTTTTTATTATTAAATTTAATACAATGTTTAAAATTACTTTACTTATAATTAAAACTTAACTTTTTAATCTATAAAATAAGATAAACTTGATAACGGCGGATTACATAGGTACGCTACTAAACGCGTGAAACTCAACGGAAACCTTATTTAAAAGCTTTGCAGTTGGCGTAATCAAATATTTCTATCTCATCTCGTGTGTATCAATCTAATAAAGCCACTTCCTGATTAGTCAGTGCGCTATTTGTATACAGTATTTACTATTTTACCGAAACCTTTTTGAAGGAAATCTAAAAGAAGTTGTACACAACAACTTTGTTTCAAAAATGTAGTCTTTAAAAGGAGGCATCATAGCGCTATATATTTTTTCACAACTGCACATCAGGTAAATAATTTCTTGAAGGTCCCCACGTCCCGATACGACTTACGAACTGATAGAACCCTAAGTCGTATTGGTGCGAAAAAAATCGCCGATGTTAAGAACTATAGCACTTGCATACCCATACAATTTGATGAAGTGATAGTTTTCTTACGTGAGTACAACACGACAGATTCATTTCATCAATTTGACACCGACAAAGAAATTTACAAATACCAATAGTACGAGTAAAACCGTAACAGATTATGCTGAATGGTGGTGGCTTTAGGGGATCCATAAACTTATTTATTTTTGTGGGTTTCGTAAGAGACGATTATGGAAAAGGACAAAAGCAGAAGTATGTTCTGATTTCTAATATATGGCGGTATAAACATCTTGTTTTTGCCAGATGTAAAATACGACACTTTTGTTAAAGCGATCGTCTGCGATAACGCAGACGCAGTATATAAATACAACGAAATTTTAAGTATATTCGTATTCTTTTATAATTTCTTTTGTTTATTTGGTTCTAGAAAACAAGTAATACATTATTTTCATTTTTATTGAGTATTTACGTATACAAATCCTCTCTACAAAGGAAACGGAAACAAACTTTTTTATTCAATATAGATTATAACAATACTTATTCAATGTCACTTTTTTAATTTACTTTACCACTGGTTTGAAAAAAGACCTATGTCCTGTGAAGAACCAGTAAGAAACCCAGCGGGATTTATTTTAAAAACAGCTTAAAAACATGCACGTAACAATTAATAACACATAACAAGTTAGAAATAGCTTGGTAGCGAACAGTAGAGGCTGTGTTCATCAATGACCATTTACCGGCTGACAAAGAAAATTATGAAGACGAAGAATAGATTATAAGCGTCACTTTTATTTGCGCTAGCGTATTAATTTCAATTTGTGGTAAATTAATATGTATTCAAATTTTAACAATTGCATTGGTTTCGGTTTCTTGGGTGACTGATCCTTACAGATATCCCTCCCCATATAAAGGCAGACGCTTATCTTTTAAGCTATCATGTCTAACGTGAAAAAAGAACGTAATTACAAAAAGGCAAATTGTAAGAGGACTATTGTGTAAGTGACGATGACGGAGAGTAGACGCAGCGGTAGTACAGCGTCCACCGAAACAATGCCGCAGGCGCTCACTGCTTCGCTCGATGCTCTGCACTCTCGCAGCAGAATTTTGTACAATAACCGGTTTTCCACTGCACATAAGATAAGAAAGTTTCCTTTATTATTTACCTTTGCATGCTAATTATAATCAAAACATGTGAACTTATTTTACTGTACCACCTACAAACACCATGTTTTAAGCAAATAAAGAAATTATTATTATTTTTGAGGTATTTATAAAATTCTCTCATCTGCTGCATCAACACTACGGTGTAAGAAGCGATGCTCTTAATTTAATTACTTCATATTTAAGTGACAGAACGCAAAAAGTTGTCATTAATAGTATGAGTTCTTCCGGGTCGATTGTACAAATGGGCGTGCCTCAGGGCTCAATTCTCGGCCCTTTTCTATTGACCAATGATAATCATGATATAGTATTATTTGCTGATGATACTTCATTCATTTTCAAATTAAAACTACAGTTATTAAATTACGACGAAGTAAATAATGCTATAGCTAAGTTAGTCAATTGGTTTAATGCTAATAATTTGCATTTGAATGGAACTAAAACTAAATGTATGAAGTTCGTAACTCCTAATGTTAAAAATGTCAATACTAATGTAATTTTAAATGGGGGGCAACTGAGTCTTGTTGATATTACCATTTTTCTTGGAATCACACTGGACGCAAAGCTTCATTGGCTCCCCCATATATCAAAACTAGCTAGCAGAAATAGTTCTGCACAATATGCTGTGAAAAAGATTAGAACTCTTACCAGTGTTGAAACAGCTAGAATAGTTTACTTTAGTTATTTCCATAGCTTTATGTCGTATGGTATTTTGCTATGGGGACACGCGACTGACACTGAAATTATATTTATTTTACAGAAGAGGGCCATTAGAGCAATATATAATTTAAAACCAAAAGAGTCACTAAGACAAAAATTTAAGGAAATTAAGATATTAACTTTGGCCTCTCAATACATTTATGAAGATGTAATGTACGTATACAAAAATAAAAGTAGTTTTGCTAAAATAAGTGATATTTATTCTGTAAATACTAGGAACTGACACAAGCTAGTAGTACCAGTTACTCGACTCCATCGAGTCAGTAATTCATTCTTGGGGCGATGTATACGCTTTTACAACAAAATCCCAGAAAATATACAAAATTTGCCATACACGAAGTTCAAAAATGTTATTAAACTAAGTTTGTATAAAAAGGGTTATTATAATATTAAGGAATTTATGGATGATAATAACACCTGGGAAGGGTGATCGCTACCAAGCTATTTCTAATTTGTCTTGTGTTGTTTATTGTAAACATTATTGTAAGCTATTATTGGCAAAAAATAGTCCCGCTGGGTTCCTTGCTGGTTCTTCCCAGGACAGAGGTTTTTTTTGCGAACCAGTGGTAAATGAAAAAAGTGACTTTCAATAAGTATTGTTATATTATACATTGAATAAAAAAGTTTCTGTTTCTGTTTCTGGTTGTAATCCATAAATATATAATTGCGAGCGAAAATGATAAATATACATAAATAGCAATAAAATAAAATAGATACATAAAAATACAAAAATAAATAAAAGCCCAACCAGATAGAAGCCCTCGGCAGGGGAGACCAAACGGCCGAGGGTTAGGTGGAAAGGGAAAGAAGCCGGCGGACAATGCGGGCGGTATCGAGGAGCACCGCCTTCTGCATTTGAGCCCGGAACAGTTCGTCACGGAGTCCCAGTCGCCTCAGATGACCCGAGAGGCTGACTGGGATTAGCCCGTTTGCAGAAACGACTACAGGTATAATTTCGGTCGACAGCCCACCCCACATGTCGGTCACCTCGTGAGCCAGGTCCAGATATTTTGTTCGCTTATCTGTTTCGGCTTTCACGAGGTTCTCGTCGTACGGAATGGTAATGTCGACCAAAGATATCCTTGACTGTGCCCGGTCAATCAGCACAATATCAGGCTTATTCGCAAGAATAGTCCTGTCCATGATGATGGCCCGGTCCCAGTAGAGCCTGGCGCGGTCATTTTCGACCACGGCTTCCGGCAAGTACTTGTAATACGGCAGTTTCCGGTCCACGAGACCGTATTTCAGAGTCTTAATAACCTGATCCTGTATCGCACAGACAAAACCGTCGGTTTCCCCGAAGAGGTCACCGAAACGTAGCCAGTTGAAGGAGGCGACTGTGTCTACGAAAGGTTCATGTAGAGCCATGAAGAACCTCCCGTGGAGCTCCTTCTCCTTCCATACGGTCTCCTGGTCGTGTTATGCCGGTTCTTGTCATTGCTCGTTGGCCAAGGATAGAGGGGTAAGCCCCTTATCACAACAAATGACGTCCCTGTAGAATGGATCATCTGATCTCGTCAGAAAGTAATAATATAATACTAAAAGTGCCTGAAATATATTTTTTTAGTGCAATCAGCTATGTATGTATAGAAGACCAGTAGCACTGCGACTAGTATCATCAATTACGATCACTGTTATGATTACAGTTCACTGCTAAGTCCTTCCTACATCTTCAACTAATTTATTTAAGTTCGTTGATTAGTTTTTAAAGTACAATTATATAAAATTTACAATAAAAATTACAATTAGAATCTAATCTGATGAAAATAATAATAACAATATTCGTCATAAAAAGTCGCGTTTATTATTTTAAATGTCATCAAAAATTTTTAAGCATTAGCACGTAGAAACTCGTCAACACTGTAATAAAAATTTTCCAGTAGGAAATTTTTTAAAGTATTTTTGAAGCTACTCTTGTATTCAATCAATAGGTAATATATTAAATAGAAATATGATCTATTTTGTTAACCATGTCTAGTCATGAACATACGAGGGATGACTTTATTATGAAAGTCTTTTCTCCTAGTGTTTGATGAAAATGAACCATATTGAATGTCAATGAACCATGGTATATTAGCTTTTAGAAATACGATTAAAACAAGTTTTTGGTGGTATCTCTTTTTAGTAATAAATATATAATATACAAATACATAATATCTGTATATAATAAGTTATCATTTTCTAAAATGTTTGCCTTTTTACTACACAAACCGCAATAATGCTACGTTACACGCATGTTTTCTTCATGTTACACTAGCCTGAACAATTAAAATCAATTGAAATAAAAAAAACGAATATCAAAACAATTCCTCTTTTTTTCAGATTTCACGATTCCGATTAGATTTTCATAAAATCTTTAGGCCGGTTACTATAATAAATTGATATATTTTATTATATGTAATACCATTAAATTACGTTAAAATTGCTAGTGGGCCCAAAAACGATTGACTCCTTTTATTCGAGCTTACATAAAAATTTTATAAAGAACTCATGTTCAAAACTTGCTACATTTATAAAGTTGCTTATATGCATTGTGACATAATGTACAGTTGGAAGCAGTTGCAATAATATATGCTTTGCTTTGCATTATATGTTGCTTGCGGTGCACGGGTTCAAGGTGGTGCCCGTTGCGAAATATTGTTAGAAGTGGTGGCAAGGTTGTCAGGTCTATGAGAGGTGCGATGTAAAAATTTCATATCATCATAATTCGGAATTTTATTTGAATCGCAAGTAAAAAATTTTTGCTAATTTAAGGCCAATGTGGACAAATATAAAATTAGCTAAGCCTATGATCTTAAGTCCTTTATGATATAATTTGCAGAGTATGAAGCAGAAGGCTTCAGGAATAATAACTGGTTTAAATAGCTTACAGCTAAAGCGTGGTGTTTTGAAATAAGAGTACCCCATAACTGCTTGTAATTCTCAGCTGCTGGCACACACCCAGCTACTATAGACTTACTCTTTCCAGTTAAAATATTCTATAAATAATTAATGCGTTCCGAATCATTCAGCGATGGATTATCGTGAATTATTCTTTTAAATGTTTCATAATTTTTTTAAATGAAATATTCATCAATATTTGCGATTAATTCAAAAAACGATTGTATGCGAGAATATAGTTCTGCTCGTTTGCCTTTCTTTAGTTTAATTTTACCTTCTACTAGCTTCTCTGATTTTGGCATTATTGGTTTATCCGATTTAGACATCATAGCCTATAAAAGTATTTAACGTATAAAAACAATATAATTAATAAAATGCGAAACCCTAAAGCAATTTTACCAAAAACACGTCACCAACAGCTATGCTTAAAACAAAACCAACATAATATATAAACTATGTCGTTAATATGCGTTTTGGATGAACAAATCATTAAAATAAATAAATTAAACTACTGATTTCGAATTGAGTCTTAACAAATTTATACGGGTATTAAATCTTTGTGCGTAAAGATAATAAATATATGAAAATGAACAAACCAAAACAAAAATACAACCTATTATTATAACAGTAAGTAGGGGTTGCAGAATAATCAGTCTCTGCCCATTCCATAAAATGAACAGAGCGTGATTCAAGTGCGGTGACCTTATAGGTACCTAATCGAAATTAAATATTTCCTGTTTACCTAAGATGAAAATTGTGTGCGATTAGTGACAAATAGCGGTTTATTTAAAAATATTAAATAAATTTTGCGGTTTAATCAATAATATTAAATAAATAACACGATTATAGCGAATGACTATTTTTACCGCCTGAAAAATAATATGGTGTTTTTTGTAAGTGGAATAGAAGCTATCCTTGAAAGTATTTGTAAAATATAACTAAAAGACAAAATTTCTGAACGGCCAAAAATACATAAAATCATAAACTGCGCGGCGTAGGCTACGATCGTTAGGGAATGAAAGCTGTATGCGTAAGCATCATCATTTTGTAGGCGCCAGGTAGCCGAGTGCTACCGGTTTCAGCTAACATTTTGAATCAGCTGAGTTCAAATTGACCAAGCTGCAATACTTGCCCTCATAATGCTTGCAGCTAAGTGTTTTTAGATAAGGCGCCGTTTAGGAATGCAGATTAATGACGTTCAGCCGGAATGACGTTACGATACATACGATTACAGAACGACTAGTTAGGTCCACTTCTTTACAACAACATTTCTAGCCACAATGCAAAAGCGCTAGTGAATGTTGCGGTATTTTTTTATAGGATAAGGGTGACTAACGAGTACATAGTCCACCTGACGGTAAGTGGATGTGTTGTCCCATAGACATCTACATTTAACCTAGATTAAGAATTAAAATGGAGATGCGTTCTCAGCCTTGGGGACTAAGATGGAATGCCTCGATTTCAGTAAAACGGATCTCCAGTTCTCTACAGTCACCATATGAAACACAGCAGCGTTAAGCTGCTATTTTACGCTGGTATTCTGAGAGAGCCAGTCATGGTACAATCATAATATAGATGCAGCGTGGTTCTACCACGTCAATTAAAAGTAACCCGCTGCATTCGGTCGTTTTGTAATGCATGGTACTTAAAATTCAGCATTATCAACTGCATTGTAGATCGCAAAAAGCTGATACATTACATGATATGCATTACAACTAAGTTTTTTATTGATACGTCTTATTTCTTATATAGCTGCGACATACATTCGTGCCAACCGAATGCAGCCGAAGCCACTTCCGTCGGAACCGAAAACCATACGTTTCAAATTGCTATTTTTGTGATTTCGATGTTTATTGTTTTAAGGACTTAGGACCGTCCAAATACGCTGTGGTTGAGTAAAATTACACGTTAAATTTTATTTCATAATTAATTCATTAACAGTTTCTACTTTGCAGATAGGTTAGTCCTGTCAATGGACCTTCAACTCATACTGGACCAATGATGTGGTCGCTAATGATTGGCACCGAAACTTTAACACAGAAAAAAAAACTTGAGCAGGTTCTTTCGTGTAGGTTTTGAAAAATCTACCAGTGCTCGTTGTAAATTCGAACGCGGGTAAATATCGACTCGTCGCATTATCTAAGTTTTCATTATACAAGACATAAAATCTCACAATTGTTAGGTACTCGACATTAGAGCATTGGTACATGTTTATGATAACTATCAGCGGGCGACCGATACACACACGTAAACATAATACGACTTCACGCCGTAGGTAATCACAGCCGACAGAAACAAAGGCGCAGGTAATTGGTGGCCTTGCGCCTGTGACCCCGTGAAAGGAACAGTCCTTTCGCAGACCTACGGTGTGGCGTTGCAGATAGATTAGTCCTGTCAATCGACTTTCAACCCATATTGGACCAATGATGTGGTCACTAATGATTGCCACCGAAACTTTAATACAGAAAAAAACTTGATGGGCATGCTCTTTTGTGTAGGTTTTGAAAAATCTACCAGTGCTCATTGTACACGTTGTAAATTCGAACGCGGGTAAATATTGACTCGTCGCATCATCTAAGTTTTCATCAGACAAGACATTAAATCTCACCATTGCTAGGTACTCGATATTAGAGCATTGGTACATGTTTACGATAACTATCGGCGGGCGACCGATACACACACGTAAACATAATACGACTTCACGCCGTAGGTAATCACAGCCGACAGAAACAAAGGCGCAGGTAATTGGTGGCCTTGCGCCTGCAACCCTGTAAAGGGACAGTCCTTTCACGGACCTAAGGTGTTACAAATTCATTGTTTTATTGCCGCTCGTAAAGTAGAGTTGGTATGATTTTATAACTATCAAACTATCGAAATGATAAAATATATAAAGTTTTTGAGAGTTATAAAAAAGTTTTCACATTCGAAGCTGATCAAAATAATGAGCACAATGTTTTTAATTGATTTATTTATATCAATGGTAAATTTTTTTGTTTTTATTTTTTACTATGGAAAGTTTACTTCAAATTAGTAGTGTTTATTGATATATCAATTACATAATATGTTAACGAATGAAAAAAATGTATAATATCAATGCCGTAGGCTATTACTCCGTTCACCTGTTACACGCTATTTTTTCCAGATGGTAAAAAAGTCATCCAGTATAAATAACTTTAGCAATAACAATGCTGGAATAAAAAGTAAACATAGATAACTAAAGTCTGTTTGCCTTTAAGGTTTGTTGTACGAAGTAAACTACTAGTATCACTGTTTACTCTTATATTAAATGCCATATACGGATTCCATTTTCACAAGTTAAACTCGATTATGCGAGAGGGTCTTGTGCGCGGTTACGGGAGAACACTGCACTTTTCGTAGTTTACGACTAGAAATAGACAATGTAAGACGACAACCCTTAGTGGTGCTTTTACATCAAATTATATTTTATTTATTCAAAAAGTAAAGTAACGGTACTCACCTGAACATTCTTTCAATTCAGTCATCAAAAGAACGATTTGAGTGTTTTTGAGAGTTATAAAAAAGCTTTCACATTCTAAGCTTATCAAAACAATGAGCACAATGTTTTTTATTGTCCACATCAAGAAAATGCCTATGGTCATGGTTATTTCCAAGAACTGAAAAAGATATTTGCATTTACTCGAAAAACTAAATAAAATTATAAACACATAGAAGAAGAAAAGAAAAGTTTATATTAAACATTCACAAACACCGTTCAAAAGTACAAACATAATACGAAAATATGAAAGGAAATGAATGAAAACTGTTGCTACTTATTTAGCTGTGACAGTGCATGCAATGGCTCAAAACAAAGCTCAGCATAATTCTTCTGATGAAAACCATCTAAGATGTGAGAAGTGTCTTATGCCTAGTATTGGGACGTATAAAGACTGTTACTTTACTTTATTTTACTTTACACTTTCAAAGCTTGGTATACTTCGAATTGATGGCCCGATTTAATTTTTTTCCTTTCATTTGTCTCGTAATTCATAAATCGAATCTGGGAAGACTCAGTCACTAAATAGACCTTTACAAATAAACCCAGGTAGAGTGCTAGATTCTCTTCGCATCCTAGCGATCTAATATTTACCCGACCTTTAATTATTCTTAATTTATTCTTACCGTGATAATTGTTTGAACATTACTCATTGACTGCCCAAAGGTTAAAACAATGTAATGTAAAATCTGCAAAATCAAAATGTGTTCTCACTGATTTAAAAAATTGTTTTAAATTTGTATTGACAAAAATAAGGCTTACCGGAATTGCACATATCTTTTTGTAATTATAATAAGCATCAAGCATATCTATGAAAACATTTTTTATTTGATTCCGTTCTTCCATTCCATAAACTGTGGATGATTCTTGATGATGAAAACCAATTTCATTTAAATTTTTCAGTTTCATATTCCATATATCAATGTTATATCTTAAAAATTTTATCGTTCGGATCATGTAAATCATGTCTAGATCAGAAAGTAACGTAGCCAAGAAAGTGAAAACCGCACATAAGGTCAGATATCCCTTTGCAATGTAAATCAAGCACATAACGAAATAAAACATAAAAGTGACAAAAACATAAATCCAGTTGCCAGTAGTAAAAAGTCTGTAATTCAGATGAGTAAACTTCTGTATTCTCTGAAGTTTTAAAATGAAATCTATATTTGAGTCGTATTGAATGACATTACTAACGGCTTTTGTAGCCAATCCAAAACCAATTAAACAAACATTGATTATTACAAATGTATACAAGAAAGACGGAAACTGTGTTGATACTTCATCTGTTATTATGCTATAAATATAAGTTATGAGAATGAAAAAAGTGTTGCAAAGATAAAAACAGTTAGCAGCGCCGCTATTGGGAGTTATAAAGTTATCACGAATGCAATATTTTGGAGAAAACATAATTTGTTGAATGAAATTTAAAGGAAAAAGGAATTTTTGTAGATCGTTTTCGAGATAATTATTTAAGGTGGTTTCGTTACTACCAGGGTTATTTAGGTATAAAACCATGTTTAAAAACTACTTTGACATTATTTACATTATGTACTTAGCGCGTCAATAAAACTTTTATAATTTTGAAACTGAATTATGTAATAATGGTAATCATTTGCCATACTTCTCTTCCGCTGGTTCAAAAGATTTCACGTCTTTGAAATTTTGTTTTATTTGGAAGTACATCTGAAAATTAGTATAATGAAATAAGTAGGATGATTAAATTAAAATGTCTTCAAAATATAAGTCGTTTGCTTCGCCGCTGAGCTTCTCATTAAGTAATGTATTTCAAACAATGTATTATATAGATTAAAAGTTTTGTGAGTCGCTTAATCGCATTAAAAGAAAATATTGTTATCTTACATAACATGTCAATTTTTTCCGTGCACTGTACATACAATAAATGACATACTCTATGTAATGACCATTTTCAATTTAATTCATATATATGTCGCAGCAAACTAGCTTAATCAGTTCAATCTTCAATCAACAACCTAGCCTCTTTACTAAACAGCGCCGTTAACTAGCGGCCTGAATGATACTCAGCCATTTGATTAAACAGCTGGGCAAATGATTTGGATCGATGAAGTTTCGTTACTTGCCTAGCTTGTTCATTTCAATCTAGTTCCAATTTCTGCTACCTGGTACTGAAACTCTCCAAATTGTCAATATCGTGTCAGCAAACAACAAACTTGATGGTGTTTTCCAAAGTTTAATGAAAAATAGTACAAGCTGTCGCAGCTAATTAGCTTAATTAGCTGTTCAATTAACAGCTTAGTTTTTTTATATATAACTAGAGGCCTGAAAGATATTCAGCCGCTGCGTCTAAAAGACATTGCAACTGTCTTGTAATCATGCATCATTAGGCATAACATGTTGTATTAGACGCATCGGCTGAAACGAATGGGATGAATATCATTCAGGCCGCTAGTTGAAAGGCACTGTTTTACCCTATCGTACGAATGGCCTAAGCATTAGCCAGCCAGTTTACTAAATGTTGTAGCAAACGCTATGGCTAAATATCATTTAGGCAGCTAGTTGAACGGCGCTGTTTAGTTAAAAGGTTAGGCTGTTAACTGAAAGGCTGATTAAGCTAGTTGGCTGCGACATATACTTAACTACGTAATTTAACAATGGATCTTATATAATTATAATGCTATAGCAGCCTTTATTAACAATAATATCACAATTACTTATATTATTTAGAAGTTAAGCCATATAAAAATAATTTAATGAATTTGTAAACGATAAGCACTGAGGAAATGTAAAACATAAAGTAAATGACATGAATTTATTGCGTCTGAAATCGTGTTACCAAAGTGTTTCCGTTATTGTTAATTGTTTGAAATAGAAGGAACCAAAAAGAAGCAACTAATGGATAGTAGCGCAAAAACGGAGACTAATACAGATTTATACGTTAAAAAGGAACGGCAGTTTATTTAGAGAAAACGGTCTAAAATTTAAGGCAGCGGACACGCAGGTATCCCTTTTTAAATCTAATGTATATAAGGATGTGGATTAACAGTAAATTGTTGTATATATATATATATATATATATATGTCACCGCAAGGATATCTTCTAAGCCTAAACTTTGCATTGTCTTTTAATTTTTTTATAAATTATAATTGTTAATATTACAATTTAATAACAACAATTTATCAAAAACATAACATGTAACTAACTAGTTCTTTAAAAACTCTTTTGGTTTACAAATCTCTTTACTGACAACTAATTCCTGGTAAAACAACTATTTATTCCATTATCAACTTATAACTCAAATATTGTTTTAAATCGTAGAATAAATAATTGTCGATTTGATTATTAACCTTTTGAGTGCCACGCCAAAAACTCACTACCGTGTCCTGTACGCCAAAGCAAAAAGTAAACAAAAATACCTACGAAAAAACAGTGCTGCCAAGAGTTGATATCTCGATAACACAAAATAACTGGTTTTTGTTGGTTTTTTATACAATAAATGATTCTTTATAATCGGGTATGTTTTATTTAATCTTGTGCTGTCTTCCACTCTTTTTATATATGTACTTTGTACATAAATAAAAAATAAACAATAACAATAAAATAGTAGTAAACCACAACACTACTCTCCATCGTGATGACGTCACTGTCACGACTGGACGACAACGGCGTAGCTGACCTTTCTTTTTGAAACTTTCTTAGAGATGTAGCCGTGTCGCATGTTGTGTATCCATTTCAAAATCGATCTAACCAAAATATACAGACATCGATTCAAAATATTTTATGGCGAGGCGTAGGCCAAGTGAATCACAGAAGAAAAGTCACGCTCTTATGACAATGGGGGTTTCATATGATGCTGATGTTGCTAAATGATTTTGAGATTGAGCAAGAAAACCGCACAACACAAAATGAAAAATTGCTCTTCATACCTTAAGTAAAAAAAAACACATTTATTATTTGTAATTTTATATTATTAAAATAAAAAAGGTACATAATTATTCACTAATCAACAATTGTATATTGTATTCGCACTAGGAAAATCAGTCTTATAATATTAAAATCTTGGTCTTAATAACTTATTACAGAAATCAACAAATGGTATATAATTATTCACTAATCAACAATTGTATATACTTAATTATTTGCACTAGGTCTAGTCTTAAAATATTAAAATCTTGGTCTTTAACTCAATCAGTACTTAATACAGAAAACAACAATTAAAAATAATTAATAAATTATAGTTAATATTAGTCTTAAAATAATAAAAATCTTATGGAATAATAAAACATAAATGTTTAGCTGGCCAAAGCAAATTTTTAACGTGGTAGAACCATGCTGTAGTTATATTACGGGAGAGTAGTTGTATCACGAATGGGTCGACTCAACCGGGGAAGAACCACGCTCTCATGGAATACTGGCGTCAAATAGTAGCTTAATGCTGCTGTGTTTCGTATGGTAAGTGTAGAGAACCGGAGACGCTCTTTACTGGAAACGAGGCATTCCATCTAAGTCCTCACGGGTGAGAGCGCATCTGCATTTTGATTCGTAATCGAGAATAGTAATTTATATTCTTAATTCACAAAATTAAACGCTACCAATAGACCTACTAGTCAAAACTTAATACCATTAATGAATAATTTTATTTTTTTTAAACATACATATTTTACTTTATAAATACGTATAATAAAAATATTTTAAAAATAATATTATTTCCTTATAAGAAGTATATAGTTCAAAATCCTAATTTATTAGTCATCGAAAAATAATATCCAAAGTCATTTATTAGAGTAACTATGGTCAGAAGTGTTTTCTGTACGTTAAGTTATAGCGTATCTATTTAACGTACAACGTTTTTCTTTCTTTAAAATTGTTGAGGCGTTTCCTTAATAATTGTTTACTATGACTGATAAACGATTTATAATATGTGGATGTTCGAAATTCAACTCCAAATTTCTGGCAGTGCTCAAGAAAGGTAGGATAAAGATATTTCAGTTCTGCATGATCCACCGTTGGAAAATAATGATAAAGTGCATGATATCCAAACCGTGTAAGTGATTTAAAATGGTTGTCATCGTACTCAACTCTCTCAACTAAAGTGTCCAATTGATGAAGACCCCAGTCATAATACATGTCTCTGTAAAAATACAATATTTTGATTAAAAAAAATACAATTCACGAGAAAACTTGTCATGAAGAAAAATGTATGTAATTATTATCATTGTAGATTGTATGTGTGAGAAAGCCTTTGATTACTGTAAGACGCGAAAGTGTTAGTAACAAAAAAAGAACGTCGCCACCGAGAATAAAAGAGCAATTTAGTACTAAGTCGGCACGCTATTTTAGATCTTAATGTTTTACCATTACATTGATTTTTAGTCTACTCACAATACTATTCGAAACGATTGTAATGCCGAAAGGTAGAAAGTCGATATACTATTTTGGACCTTAATGCTTTTTCATTAGGTTGATTTATGATTTATGGTCTACTCAAGGTACCTAGTTTTCGGAAGGATTATTGTGAAATATGGTTTAAGATATTTATTTCGCTAAACAATATTACCATTAGCTTTTTGACAGAAAAAATATCTACTAGTTGCAGTATAAAAGTAAACGAACATGATGAGTTATTCTAAACTCGAAAACAAAAACATATAAAATGTGCTCACAAGAGTCGCCCGGGAAACAGTTTCATTTTGTATCGAACTTATTATATTTAAAAATAAACAAAATATTATAAAATAATAGATACATAAAATAGGCAATATGCATGTTAGTAAAATAAGTTTAATTTATTAGGAACTTAAGACACTTACCTCACTTAAATCTTCAAGCA